TCAATATCCATATTCAGACAACAAATTTGCAATGTACAGAATACAAGGCTGGTACCCGATGTGGAACTGCTCAGCAAGTGAGTAAAGAGCTTAGAGGGGATAAAATAGCTAATAAGACTATGGAATAGTAGAATTAGTATTGATGTGTGGGTGAGACTGCCCTCCTGTATAGCTTGCGGGAAAGTTACACTAAGAAAAATAAGAGTGTGGCTTATTTCTAAATTTATCTTAGTGTTGATACTGCTGTTATTGTTGCTTAAGAATACCTGTTGAGGAGGTAAGGAGTTTGTGGGGCTTTCTGAGTAACAAGGGTTTCTGAAGGGTTTCTCTGTTAAATCTGTTGTAAATTCTCTCTGGTTCTCTGTCCTAATAAGACTCTCTGGTTTCTCTGGGCTCTGATAAAAGGTACACTTATTTCTCTAATTTCTTTCAAAGAGGTGAGAATGGCTAAGCAATATTTCTGAATTACTTTTCTATGGCCAAAATTGAGGTAAGGGGAGTTCAAGGGCTCTAATAATCTCTGTATCTCTTAATCAAAAGGTGATGAAAGCTGAGTAATATCTCTGATTACTATTCTGTAGCTAGCATGAGGAGGGGAAAGGGAAACATGGGCTAGAAGAGCCTCTATTTATAGACAAATTGTTCTGCAGTACATGAGATTTTGGCCTGAACACAAGTTCGTCTGAGAAGGGTTCTTCCAGAGTGGCTTTACTACTCTGAGATGGCCTACTCTGTTATGAATTAGTCTCTAAGTGCCTATCTACTACAAGAGGTTGTAAATCTACTATATGAGGCCTGTTCTTAGATTAATTGCTATGAGAATGGTATTCTTAGACTATTTAGTATAAGAGATATTTTCTAGAACTAATCTATGAATTACTTTCTGATCAGTAGCTTGATTTTTCAGTCTAAGATGGATGTACAACCTCAGCACCATGTTTCATCACAATTGCCATACCAAGCCACCAATCTACATCAGCACACCACTGCCACCGTCCAAATTCACCAGGCCACCACCAACTCTTGCCAGATCCCTGCGGCTCCCTCACGTGCCACCACTGCTAGTATCTCCCGCCAGACCACTGGAGCACCCCCACCAAGAACGATCCAAGTGTCAGCTCTTCCAACCTTCAAAAGTGAGCTGAAACGTGCCTTAGATGCCAATGCAAAGGCTGTGCAAGCCCCAAGCGGCCAAGGTAGCAAAAGGCGGCAGCCAGGGCTGATGCCAAAGCTGCAGCCAAACTAGAGATGTTGCTCGATACCCGGGTACCTGTAGCGGGTGCGGGTACCTGCCTCAAAAATCCAATATTTTTGACACCCGCACCCGCACCCGCACCCGCACCTGCTAGGGCAGCCAGGGCGGGTACCCGGGTACCTGCAGGTACCTGGCACATTTTTTCAGGCAAATATACCCAGAAATCTCACCCTTGAATTTCTGCATGACTTGGTAAATATAAGATTGATATTCACTAGATATATGAGTAAGAATAAAATAAAAATAAAGAAATAAAGAAAAACAAATTATTCCATCACCAATTTGAATTTTATCTTCTCTCTGATCTATCTTCAGCTCTACCCTTTTGCTTGGCCTCATTTGCCTTATTCAACGTCCATTGATGAAGACTGTACACCGTCTTTATGACTGGAGGAATTCCTCCAGTCATCAAGACTGTACACCATCTCAAAGGCCAGAGGGAACCCTCCAGCCTCAACAAAGCAACCAGATTAGTTCAGCAACACATGTGAGACATGGGTTGCTGACACCTTTGTGCAGCCCAACACACCCAAAAAAGGGAGCTTTGGACCACCAATGATAAATGAAATTCTTAAGGGGAAGCATTCCCAGGGCGGGTGTAAGGCGGGTACCCGGGTACCTGCCTTTTTTTACCGCAAA